TGCACTCTCGAATAGAATGTCACCTTGAAACACATGTACTCATTATTTCTCACTTAAACAAACTTTCAAAAATTAAATTTGTTAACGGGACATTTTAAAAACAAAAGGAAACCATTGTTCCATATGAATGGACTTAGAATGGGTGAAATAAATTATTTGGAGAAAACAGGTGAATAAATATTTAAATAAACCAATAATACTCGATAAAAATAAGAAATTTTTCGAATCCTCACATAAGACATTTATACCATTCATTATATATAATTGTATTCAATTGCAGTCATCTCTCCTTTGACAAATATTCTAAATGTTGACCTTGGTCCCTACCTTTTGATGTTTACAAAACAATGGATAATTCTAATATCTCTTCAAGAAATATTTTCAACTATGATGCAAATCAGGTTCAAAGATCAAGTGCAATTGAAAGGGATAAAGGCTGTTGAAAGCTGTCGGACGCTTGGATCGGACGTCCGATAATCATTGCGCAACTTCGGACGCATGAAGAACTCTACCACCGGACGTCCGAAGGAAATAAGACATTCCCCCTGGATCACTGATCTCGATCGGACGCAAGCATCGAGACGCTGAATAATTTTAAAATCGACGAAACCATCGGACGCTGAATATGTCTTCACCGGACGTCCGATAGAAACAAGATGATTTCGCAAATCTCTTTGTTTGCTGTCGGACGCATAAAGAGCTTGCACCGGACGTCCGATAGAATTGAAGAAAATTTCTCAAACTCACTACCTGCTGTCGGACGCCAAAAATAGGAGTACCGGACGTCCAATACTCCAACGGCTAGTTGACTCTTCAGCTACTTTCTATCCGTTGAAAGCATTAATGTGGCACTTTCTTAGTCCTATATAATTAGCGGTTGGTCAGATATTTCAAATAATTTTGAGACACTAAAGATACAAAAGATCTAGAGTGATTTTAGTGAGAAAATACTCTTCAAGGAAGATTTGTAGTCTTAGTGGTGTGAGGTTCATTGTAAGTTTTTCATTTGTGAGTGAATACTTCATGAGTGTAGCTTTGTGAGGGTTGTCCTGAGGGATAGTAAAACGTCCTAACTTGACCGAGTGGAGTTCGGGGTAAGGAAGAGGTGAACCTTCCTTTGTACACAAGAGTGATTGTGATTCATCAATTTGAAGAAACTTATTTGAATTTATCTACAAGCTCAAGAGGAGTTGAGTAGTTAATTGGTTTGCAATTCTTTCCTTTTTATTTTCTTATTGTTACGTTTGTGTTCTTTAAATTGATTGTCTCTTCTACTCCCAAGCAGTCTTGCTTTCTTGTTAATTGTCTCATTAGTTGTCTTCGGGCCTTACAATTGGTATCAGAGTTTGGTCTCCTAGAGATTAAGCTCAAGCGGCTTAGGAGTAAAGATGACAACCAATAATGCTATATTTTTTGAATGACAATCTGTGATTAGACCACCTATGTTTAATGGGTCAAATTATGTGAGTTGGAAAGAAAGAATGATTATTTTCTTGTAATCGATTGATATTGAATTATGGTTTATTGTTAATGAAGGTCCATATAAGGCCTCTCTTATAGATGAAAATACTCGTAGATCTAAATCAAAAATAAGAAGTGAACTGACTGTTATGGATAGAGCCCATCTCACCTTAAATGCAAAAGCCATGAATGTGTTACATTGTGCTTTAGACTCAAATGAAACTATTAGAGTCGAAGGCTGCAAGTCAGCCAAGAAAATTTGGGATAAATTGAGAGAAATTCATGAATGTAGTGAGAATGTTAGAGAACAAAAGAAATCCATTCTAATTACAAAGTATGAATCCTTTAAAATGGAACCTCATGAAAATATTGATAAGATGTGTTGTAGATTCAATGACCTCATTAAGTATTTGGAGGTACTGGAAAAGGAATACTCTCTAGGTGAGAAAAACAGAAAAATTCTGAATGTTTTATCGAAGGATTGGGAGAGTAAAGTGACTGTCATTGAGGAAACCAAAGATCTAAATACCTTGCCTATTGAATCTCTCATTAATTCACTGACTTCTTATGAGTTAAAACTCAAGTCCAAGGTGCAGGAAGAAGAAAACACAAATGTGAGAATCTGAAGGCTTTACAAGAGGAAGATGATATAGCCTCCGTGAGTGAAGATGACATGGAAGGTGGTAATAGTGATGTTGCACTCATCACACGAGACTTCAAAAGAATACTCAACAAGAGGAGATTCAGAAAAGGTGGGCCTAGCAACTCCTTCCCGAATCAGTCCAACAACTTGAGAAACAAAGGGAAGCTAGAGTTAAACAAAAAACAAACTGATAAGTGCTTTGAATGCGGCCAACCTGGACACTATGCAAGTGAGTGTTCAGTGATGAAGAAGAAAGAAGGAAGAAAATCAAAATTCAACAATTTTCGGTTCACATGGAATGAGTGCAACTCCGATGGTGAAATTGATGAGGAAGAAGAATCTGCTCATTTGGCTTTTATGGCCATTGGAGATGATGAAGTAACAACTTGTAACTCTCAATCTGATAGTGATGATGAAACTGATGATGAAACTGATGATGATCTTGAATCTTTCATTATAAAATTGCATGATAATTTGAAAGAATCTTATGCTACAAACAAGGAATTAAAACATAAAATAAGTTTTCTTCTTCAGGACAATGCACGTCTTTTTCAAGAAAATAAAAAACTGAAAACTGAAAGTGATTTTTTAAAAAAGAGTGAGACTGTTTTATACTTTGAGTTTGATAAAAAAATAAGACTTTGTGAAATGTTCAAAAAAAATAAGGTGATTTGAAAAGAAAAATGGATAATTTAAATGAGTTGTTCTAACATAAAAAATAAGACTGTTTTCAAAGTAATAAATCAAAACCTCACTTTGGCGCTCATCAGAAGAAAATAAATTCTGTTGCAAATGAATTTGCTATTTATAACAGAAAACAAGTAAAATTTATTAAATCTGTTTATAAATCTTTGGTTATGTGTAATTTTTGTTATCAAAAAAGTCAAATGAAATGTGATTGTTATATGAGAAAGAATATGAGAAGAGGTTTGAAATGCATGTGGATAGTTTGATATGATGCTAACTCTAACAAGTAGGAGATATTGATAAGATTGATGAGTTTTTTGTTCATAATGCCTTTTTATAATTTTCTTTTGATGTTTCTGATATTTTGATCTGAGTTTTTCTTGATATTTTTGAATTTTATTGAAGTTTTATGATGACAAAAAGGGAGAGAAATGGATGCTATGTGAAAGGGGGAGTTATTCTGAGATTATAAATTTGGATGCAATGAGTGAGAGGGAGCTTATGCTCATATGCTCAATCTTTTTCCTTCTTCCATCCATTGTTTTGTCATCATCAAAAAGGGAGAGAATATTGACATTGGTCCCTAGCTTTTGATGTTTACAAAACAATGGATAATTCTAATATCTCTTCAAGAAATATTTTCAACTATGAATCAAATCAGGTTCAAAGATCAAGTGCAATTGAAAGGGACAAAGGTTGTTGAAAGCTGTCGAACGCTTGGATTGGACATCCGATAATCATTGCGCAACTTCGGACGCATGAAGAACTCTATCACCAGACTTCCGAAGGAAATAAGACATTCCTCTTGGATCACTGATCTCGATCCGACGCAAGCATCTGACGTGCGATAGGATTCTTTAAAATCGACGAAACCATCAGACGTTGAATATGTCTTCACCGGACGTCCGATAGAAACAAGATGATTTTGCAAATCTTTTTGTTTGCTGTCGGACGCATAAAGAGCTTGCATCGGACGTCCGATAGAATTGAAGAAAATTTATCAAACTCACTGCCTGCTGTCAGACGCAAAAAACAGGAGTACCAGACGTCCGATACTCCAACAGCTAGTTGACTCTTCAGCTACTTTCTATCCGTTGGAAACATTAATATGGCACTTTCTTAGTCCTATATAAATAATGGTTGGTCAGATACTTCAAATAATTTTGACACACTGAAGATACAAAAGATCTAGAGTGATTTTAGTGAGAAAATACTTTTCAAAAAAGATTTGTAGTTATAGTGGTGTGAGGTTCATTGTAAGCTTTTCATTTGTGAGTGAATATTTCATGAGTGTAACTCTGTGAGGGTTGTCCTGAGGGATAGTAAAACGTCCTAACTTGACCGAGTGGAGTTTGGGGTAAGGAGGAGGTGAACCTTCCTTTGTACACAAGAGTGATTGTGATTCATCAATTTGAAGAAACTTATTTGAATTTATCTACAAGCTCAAAAGGAGTTGGGTAGTTAATTGGTTTGCAATTCTTTCCTTTTTATTTTCTTATTGTTACGTTTGTGTTCTTTAAATTGATTATCTCTTCTACTCCCAAACAGTCTTGCTTTCTTGTTAATTGTCTCATTGGTTGTCTTCGAGTCTTACACTAAATCTTACAGCTTACAAGACATATGAAAACTCCAAGGAATATATATCGATGAAAGAGTATTATGCATTTAAATTTCAGATGAGAAAAAAAATTGGGCCAAATATTTTAAACGTTGGAAGAGCTTTGGAACAATATTCAGTTGACATGTATGTTAAAATAAAGACACAAAGACTAAATTTTAATCGAAGTCGACAACAACAAATACGTCGAGAGTAGCTACAAGGAATTAGGACAACGTAATACAGGGACAACAAAATGGATTTCAGATTGGACAGTGAGTAATATTGCCTACATCATTCATTGGAGGTCCTAGAGATATGAAAAAAAGGTAACTTGATGCTATGAGTTTAGTTCCGAAATTTGGGAAGCCAGATCTTTTTATAACTATGACTTGCAACCAATCATGGCTCGAGATTAAAGAAAATATGTTACAATCAGATGAAGCACAGAATAGGCTTGATCTTATTGCCCGTGTGTTTCGTGCAAAGTTAGAAATTATGAAACAAGAATTATTCAAAAAGCAAATTTTTGGAGAAGTAGCAGCATAAACTTATGTTATAGAATTTCAAAAACGTGGTTTACTTCATGCTCACTTTTTGATTATCCTCAAGCATGCTTTCAATTTATATACAGCAGAAGATTATGATCGCATAGTTTCTGCAGAAATACCTGATGAAGCACAAAATAAGCATATTTTTAGAATGGTCAAGAAACATATGATGCATGGGCCATGTGGTGAGAAAAAACCTGATAATGTATGTATACAGGGTGCATCAAAGAAGTCTTGCAAGAATAATTATCCAAAAGCATGGGCAGAAAAAACTACACATTCTCAAAATTTATATCCAACATACAAAAGAAGAAATGACGGGAAAAAAATTTTGGTTCGAGGACACTACTTAGACAACAGATGGGTAGTGCCATACAATGCTTATCTGTTGGCTAAATTCAATTGTCATAGAACGTAGAAATTTGCTCCACAATTATGGCTGTGAAGTTTGTGTATAAGTATATATACAAAGGCCATACAAGGATACATTTTCAAGTGAATTCAGATGATGGAGCAAATATTGTTGATGAAATCAAAGAATATCAGTCAGCACGGTGGGTATGTGCAGCTGAAGCAATGTGGAGAATATACAGATTTCATCTTTATGAAATGCAGCCTGGTGTAATACAACTTCAACTCCACCTAGAAAACTTTCAATCTATGCTATTTCGACCAAATGACAGTCTTGACAATATATTAAGTAACAATTTTGCAAAAAAAAACTATGCTCACCCAATTTTTCCGAATGAATGCTACAGATGATTTTGCAAAAAGTCTCAAATGTACCTACAAAGAGTTTCCTGAGCATTTTGTGTGGTATCCAAGTTCCAAATCTTGGCAACCTAGAAAACAAAAAGATTCTATAGTCAAACTTGTTGCAGCAAATCCCCTTGAAGGTGAACGGTACTTCCTAAAACTCCTTTTACTGCATGTTAGAGCTCCAACTTCTTATGATGATTTAAAAACTGTAAACGGAGTACATGTTACTACATTTCGCGAAGCAGCTGTGCTTAGAGGATATTTAGAATCAAATAACTCACAAGATGAATGTCTACAAGAAGCTGCTGTTTATCATATGCCATATAGTCTAAGAAGGTTGTTTGCAACATTGTTGGTATATTTTACCCCCTCAAACCCAAGATCCCTATGGCTGAAATTTGAAGAATCATTGTCTGAAGATTACAATAGACTCCCAAACATAACCAAAAATGATATTCAATTTAAAGTTCTGCATCAAATAAGCACTTTTTTAGAGTCTATGAGTCGTAATATAAACAGCTATGGACTGGTGCCAAGAGTACTCAAATTTTATGACTCAAACACAGATACAAGAGATACAATTAGTGAAACAGAGATTAAAGTTTCAGAGGATGACTTGGTATCAATTACTAAACTTAATCTTGGTCAAAAAGTAGCTTTTGATACCATAATGCAGGCATTATACATTAAAGGAAAAGGATGTTTCTTTATAGATGGACCAGGTGGCACAGGAAAAACATTTCTTTATCGAGCATTATTAGCTGAAGTACGGTCAAAAGGCTTTATAGCATTAGCTACCGCTTCTTGTGGAGTTGCAGCATCAATATTACCAGGAGGTAGAACAGCACACTCTCGATTCAAGATTCCAATTGATATGAATTCAGTTAACATGTGTAAAATTAGTAAACAAAGTGCACTTGCTAAACTAATTCAAGCAGCTAAACTTATCATTTGGGATAAAGCTCCAATGGCACACAAAACTGGTATAGAAGGTGTGGATACGCTACTAAAAGATTTAATGGGTTCTTTTGAATTATTTGGCTAAAAAATTATGGTTTTTGGCGGTGATTTTAGACAAGTTCTCCTTGTTGTCACTAAAGGTTCAAAGGAAGATTTTGTACAAGCTAGCTTAGTAACTTCATACATTTGGCCACAACTTCATAAACTATACCTCACAGATAACATGAGAGCAATATCAGATCCAGAATTCACAGATTACCTTCTCCGAATAGGAAATGGACTAGAACCAGTAATAAAAGGGTTAAAAGTAAAGATCCCTCTCCCACTATTGATACCATACAAAAGTGAAACAGAATCAATTTTTGAACTTATCAAAACAGTTTACCCAGATTTAACTGCTTTTTCCAATGATGATTTTTCATTGATAAATCGAGCAATCCCTACTACAAAAAATGAATTTGTTGATATGTTAAACAACTTGTTAATTAACATTTTTCCAGGTGAGGCTCAAGAATATATTAGTCGTGATATTTCAGAACAAGGCCTATTTGAAGATTTTCTGAATAGCTTAACGCCCAATGCTTTCCCCCCCCCCCCATAATCTTATTCTAAAACCAAATTGCCCAATAATTCTTCTCAGAAACATTGATCCCCCAGAAGGTTTATGCAATGGAACAAGGCTAACATGTAAATCTTTAACTAACAATATTATTGATGTAGTTATAAGTGCTGGAGAATTCAAAGGCAAACAAGTCTTTTTACATAGAATATCTTTTCGAATAGAAAATAATCCTAATTGTCCAATGTCATTTGAAAGAGTTCAATTTCCAGTGTGCCTATGCTTTGCAATCACAATTAATAAGGCTCAAGGTCAAACCTTAGATTTTGTCGGTATATACTTACGTGAACCAGTTTTTTCACATGGCCAACTATATGTTGCTTTATCAAGAGCAAAAAGCAGCAATTGTGTAAAGATTCTTATACAGCCTTCTCCCTTTGATCTAACAGTTGACTATGCTACCAATAACATAGTATACAAACATATTTTACAGCTTGCAAATCATGACCTTTCATAATTATTGATTACAAGATTGTCAGATTCATATTCATTGCACTTATTCATAATCAGAATCCACCAGCAATTCATGCTTAACTTTCTTGTACTAAAATACCTATTTTTCGATACCGCCTCAATTTTTAAGCCAACTGATGTTTCAGTATATATGATAAGAAAATTCTTGTATTAAGATATAGCATTAACTAGAGCTTATGCTTCATTTATAATGCAAATAATGTTAAATCTTTCACAAATGCTGCTCCATTTTTGAGTTAGCTCATACTTTTACAAATGTCCCTAGGAAATATTCAAAAAACAGAGGTTAGTGTTCATACATTTCATCTGCCCTTATTACTGATTCTTGTAGTCATATATTCAGAATATTCATTATATATTAACATTACTCATTCTTGTAATTGTATGTTCAGAAAATTGATTACTAAGTGTTTATCGTTTTTGCAGTGAAAATGTATATAAAGATGAGAACTCTGATCAAACTCAGAGGCAAGTACCTACATTGCTGACCTCAAAGACTCAAAGACGCTTTTTTGTTGGAAGTTTTTGTTTTAAAGCCTACTTCTACAGACTGCTCATCTCCTTCATTAATATTTTAGCATTCATTTTATCAGGTTATATAAAATGCATTTGAAGAATAGGAGGCATAAGTTCTTTTTGCTTTCATATGTGTTCATTATTTATAACAAATCTTTTTCTCCCCTCTCAGGTCTTTTGTTATTTGAATAAACTAAATCACTCATTGTTGTGATTCCTTGGAGCTGACCTTCTATTCAATGTATCAGAAGATGCGGATTATGTCCGGACTATTCTAGGTAGCATGTTATTATTGAATTCTGCCTTCTAAATTTGTTAAGTATTTCTATGTATTGCATCTATAACAAAATAAATCATGGTTAGATAAATACTGATTTTGCACTATAAAGTAGCACTGGTATTACATAACTTAACTAAGGCTGTTATGTAATTCTTTATGTTTTAAATAGGTTGATCCATTCAATCAGAGATTCTGACCTCAAAACTAAGGCTGCTGAGTCAAATAAAGCAGCAAAGATAGATGCAAGATCAAGTCATTATTGAAAGGATGCTTGATATGTGACAGCCCAACCTTCCCCTAAGGCGAACCAAAGGGGTTAGTGGACTGCCTGCCCAACTCTCGCCAGAACTAACGGTGAAGTTTAGAGTGATCTAATACGTTCCGGAACATACAAACGCGCGTAAACAAGTCAAAATCAAAAAAATAAAAAAAAAAACGAAACCAGAGCCGGTCATGAATAGTAACCGACACGTCAAAATCCCACCAAGCATCCATCCACATTTATATGTTGAAATTAAGCATATACAATCCAAAGTGGCATACAAAAGTTATTCAAAAGTTGATACATGTACGGTTTGCCAAATCAAAAGAGAAAACGGACCCCAAAAGTACATTTAGGGTTTCAATCAAGGAGATATACAAAAGATATGCCCACCTAGCTCAATTCGGCAACCAACTAGCAAATCCAGTCCAAAAGTATTTATTTTCCTATAAGGAAAACAAAAGGGAATAGAGTGAGCTTACGCCCAGTGAGATAATACCACTCAAGCAGCAAAGTTCACATAAACATAAAACTTTTCATTCCAATTCATCAAAAGTAAACAAAGACACACATGAAATGTGGTGATAAAAGGATACGGTGGCTCTCAAGAGCCCTTTTCCCCGTTTGTATTCTTGATCGGATCTCATTGACCCTCCATCAATGTTTAAAAGTAACCAACCGTAGGCTCCACTTTACTTCCATCCCTTCCACCCAACATACCCCTACCGGATCCGAACTCCAAACAGTAGAAATTTGGTAATACTCGAATATACCGGAATCAAGAGTCTCACTACTACAAAATTCCATATAACAGTCCCCATGGCTCGTCAATTTTCACGACCAAGCCCTCGCCGGCTCGATCCAATCGACTACCAATGGGGTTGAGCTCAGTCGTATCAGTAATGGTCGTTGGATACTCGTCCAAGCGACACCAAAATCATGAACCAATTCAATATTTCATGTATCATTCAATCATTTCAGTAAAACAGTAGACAGTCATATGAGATACCAAATGGGTGAGGGCGATCAAGTACACCCTCACTTAATTAAGTTCAACGGAGCAAATAAGCCTTCAAGGCATCAAGTTCACATATACCAAAGCCACATTGTAAACAACAAGTGAGTGGTACACTCACCAAGCAAGCAAATGATATTTCATACACCACCGCCCAAAAAGCGTCTTGGACCACCGTCACGTCCTAAAACATTCAAATAAGCACAACAAGACTCGATTACCGGTCATAAACCAATTCCAAATACCACCAAATAGGGTTCCATAAGAATGTATAAGCACTAGAGTAAACCAGAAAAATCCAGAAATGGAATTAAGCTTTAACCCAAAAAAAACAGTTTTTGACATCATTTTACGATTTTGGCACCATTGACACTACAATTATCGGATGGAGGTGTAAGACACCGTTTCGAAGCTAAGAGATAGGGCTACAAAGTTACAGAAGGCTACTCTGTCCAGTTTCGAGTGTAACCAGGTCAAAAATGTAATATACTACACCAGAACCGTAAAAATAGGTTCACAAACCGCATTCTGGTTCAAACATCATAAGTCAGGCTACCTAAGTCCAAATTAGGTGATTCCAAAGCCATCCAAAAGCTAAGATACAAGACTACAATTCATCAGAAGACATCAACAACCAAATCAGAAGCATTCCCACTCAAATTAACCAATCACAGACGCAATTATCAAATTCGGGTAGAAACAGGGCAGCAGGGGTAATTCAGTCTTTTCACAAGCTACATTGCTCCGATTGACCTGAAATTTTGTAGGAATCTCTAAAATATCATTCCCTATAACTTTCATGTTTTAATCCAAGGCCAATTCGGCCTATAACTATGAGGTACTGTGACGAGCAGAATGTAAATTAATGAAACCCTAACTTTCCAAATTTCTTTCCAAAGCAGAAATTTCTTGTAATTAACCACCATTTACACCTCCTAGGTTCATTCTAGATCATTTCCCCTCTTCATACCAAGCCACAACATATGAATCATATTAAATCAGAAAAATCATCAATAATTATAAAACTTCACCAAATGCAACCAAAATCAAGATATAATCCACAAAATTCCCTCTTAGGCTACCACAATTCATAAATTAAACATCGTTAGATGGAGGAGAGGGGTTCCTTCACTACTCACCTTAGTAATACAAGAGAGGGAGCAACTAATCCCCTGAGCCTTCCAAACAACTCCACTAAACACCTCACAATCACTCACTTAAGGGTTTCTATGGAACAAAGTAAGATTAAATGGTTGAGTTATTGGATTTGAGCAAGAGTAGAGCTAGGAATTTGGAGAGTTTTCCTTTCTTTCTTCAAGGAAGAGAGCCGGCCTCAAGCTTGTAAATTTGAGGGATTTTTGGTCAATTTTTTAGTTGTTTTAAACAAATGGTAAAGTTATGAATAGTAGTCAAACTTAAGAATTAATCTTATGGTGACACTTGTCACCCTATTTAATGCATCTCTATCTTTTTGTTCCTCTCACACCAATCCACTTGGTAACCTCTAATTATCTCTTAACACCCGGTAAATTAAATCCACTATCCAAAACTTAATCTAACTGGCCGCATTTTTCCGAACTTTTCGCCCTAGTGGGTCCCACGTCCGGTATACGCTCTTAATTTCTCAAAATCTAACCGATACTAGAAAAATCATCTAAAAACTATATTTACTTATAAAAATTATCGGGAAAAATTTTCCTAATAAAGAAAATGCAGAAAACATGCCATTAATGAGAAAAATCCTAGAAAATGAGAAAATTACGGGTTCTCACATGATAAGTACGTAAACTTCTGAAACATTACATTTTACTATAGATTTCAAATTTTTTCTCATTATCTCATTTTTGGACCTCCCTGTAGGTATATAATTAACAGAAGATATCAATAAGCTATAGTTATATATTCAGAAAATTCATTATATATTAACATTACTAATTCTTGTAATTGTATATTCAGAAAATTGATTACTAAGTGTTTATCATTTTTGCAGTGAAAATGTATATAAAGATGAGAACTCTGATGAGACTCAGAGGCAAGTACCTACATTACTAACCTCAAAGATTCAAAGACGTTTTTTTGTTGGAAGTTTCTGTTTTAAAGCCCACTTCTACAGACTCCTCATCTCCTTCATTAATATTTTAGCATTCATTTTATCAGGTTATATAAAATGCATTTGAAGTATAGGAAGCATAAGTTCTTTTTGCTTTCATATGTGTTCATTATTTAGAACAAATCTTTATCTCCCCTCTCAGGTCTTTTGTTATTTGAATAAACTAAATCACTCATTGTTGTGATTCCCTGGAGTTGACCTTCTATTCAATGTATCAGAAGATGCATATTATGTCTGGATTATTCTAGGTAGCATGTTATTATTGAATTCTGCCTTCTAAATTTGTTAAGTATTTCTATGTATTGCATCTATAACAAAATAAATCATGATTAGATAAATACTGATTTTGCACTATAAAGTAGCACTGGTATTACATAACTTAACTAAGGCTGTTATGTAATTCTTCATGTCTTAAATAGGTTGATCCATTCAATCAGAGATTCTGACCTCAAAACTAAGGCTGCTGAGTCAAATAAAGCAGCAAAGATAGATGCAAGACCAAGTCATTATTGAAAGGATGCTTGATAAGTACGTAAACTTCTGAAACATTACATTATACTATAGATTTCAAAATTTTCTCATTATCTCATTTTTGGACCTTCCTGTAGGTATATAATTAACATAAGATATCAATAAGCTGTGAGAATAAGCATGAAATACTAAAGATTGGATAAGCTTCAACAAGCACTTATAAGAAGTGACAACGTTCAAGTAACCATATACTATTGTAATCACGTCTCTCACAATTTTGCCAGCTCTAGAAAATATCAACGTCATGTGATTATATCTATCCAACTACTTGAGATCTCAAAATTTGAGAAATTCTAACCTCAACTACTTTAATGCACATGTCACCTGATTTTCTGCTGTATTTGAAAAACTCTTAAGAACAAAAAGCAAGAATGGTCCTTTATTGGGATTTCAAATAGCATTTAACCTTATAGAGAATGAATGCTGTCTCGAGAGACTTCTATACACTTGACATTGCAATTCTTATATAGTTATAATGACTAAGACATTTTTCCTATTTTCTTTTTTTTCTTCTCAAGATAGTTTCTCAGTTTACTAGATTTCTTTGGAATATTTCACTAATTGTTACCTTTTTGCATGTCGGATTGCATTTTGTAATTCTCAACACAATAAAGCAATCTGTTTAGATCAGAAATAATATTTGTCATAATACAACTATACACACTAATAGCATTATGGATGCCGTCACAACTGTGAACACATTACTGTGCACCTATTTTCATCATTGTTTTATATGCTACATAATGATAAAAGTTATTATTTCTATCTAACATTTTGTATTTGTTTAAACTATCAGAACTGGCTCACTAGGGCTACAAATTGGACTAAGTTTAGCGCAACAGCACTACAAGTTATTAACAGAGGCCATCTACATCAAGGAAAATCACTAATACATCCTTGTCACACAGTGGAACTGGTAGTCGTGGCTGCCCATATTCAGAAATATAAGCATTGTCTACTATGAGGAAGGCATGAATCAGTTCCTCTGTGATAATGTAACAAATACTAACGCTGAGGTATTTGTCTTATTGCATTATGTAAAAAAGTACCTATATTTATGTTTCCATTTTCTGTCTTTTTTTAAAAAAATCGTCTCCTACACGTTATTCAGTATAGTACCTACCTTAGCAGTATTGGAAACTCCTAACGAAGATTTTTTCATGATATCAAAAATGTCGTGTAAAAACTTAATAAATTAAAAGCTATGATATATTTCTATAGTTAAAAGCTTAATGAATTCCATAATCTATTTCTAGAATTAAAAACTAAATGAATTCTTTTTCTTTTTGACAGTTTATGGAACAGAAGCAGCACATTATCGATAAATGTATGCATTAGTGTTGGCTTACAATGAAACTTCAAGCAGTGTTGTCTTACGTTTAGACTTAGCACTTGTTTATGGTTTATGTTTAGAAAATTCATTATATATTAACATTGCTCATTCTTATAATTGCATGTTCAGAAAATTAATTACTAACTGTTTATTGTTTTGCAACAAGAGTGTATATGAAAATGAGCTATATTACTAGCCTCAAAGATTCAAAGATGCCTTTTTGTTGGAAAATTTTCTTTTAAAGCCTACTTCTACAGACAACTCAACTCCTTGATTAATATTTTAGCATTCATTTTACCAGGTTATGTAAAATGCATTTGAAGAATAAGAAGCATAAGTTTTTTTTGCTTTCGTATATGTTCATTATTCATAACAAACCTTTTTATTGTTGAATTTTGCCTTCTAAATTTGTTATGTATTTCTATCTATTGCATCTATAAGAAAATAAATCATGGCTAGATAAATACTGATTTTGAAGTATAAAGTGGCGCTGGTATTACATAAGCTAACTATGCATTTCTTTTTAACCATGCCATACACATCTTACTTTATTTTCTACTATATCCTTTTATCTCAGCTAAAGCTATAGACAAACGTCCTCATCTCAAGACTAAAGCTGCCGAGTGAAATAAAGCACCAAACATAGATCCAAGATCAAAGGCCATTGTTCAAAGGATGCTTGATAAGTATGTAAGCTTCTGAAACACTAGATTATACTATAAATTTGAACTTTCTCTCCTTATCTCATTCTTAAAACTCCCTCTAGGTATATAATTAACAAAAGATATCAATAAACTGTAAGAAAAAATATAAAACACCAGAAATTGGATAAGCTTTAGCAAGCACTTATACAAAGTGACAACATTCAAGTAACCCTATACGATTGTAATCATGTCTGTCACAATCTTGTCAACTCTAGAAAATATCAGCGTGATGTGATTATATCTATCTAATTCATTCTTCTAAATCTTATTTCTAATTGTAAAAAATGTTGGTCCAAGTGTAACAGATATCAAAATTTCAGAAATTCTAACCTCAAGTACTTTAATACATATGTCACCTGATTATTTAAGCATATGTTAGTTTCTCATGTTTTTGGATAGACCAGAAGACATTGCTGCTGTATTTGAGAAACTCTTAAGAACAAAAAGCAAGAATGATGGTTTATTGGGATTTCAAATAGCATTTGACCTTGTACAGAATGAACACCAAGCTTATCTTTTGAAAATGACGGACTAACTTTTCAGTCCCAAGAAAGATATTCAGATAACAGAGGGTAATCAAAATTCTGAAGGAAACTATTTATGCTACAAAGTTATCAAAAATAAAAGGGATGCTGTCTTGAGAGACTTCCATACAGTTGACATTGCAATTCTTATATAGTTATAATAAGTAACACATTTTTCCTATTTTCTTTTCTTTTCTTCCCAAGATGCTTTCTCAGTTTACTACATTTCTTTGAAACATTTGACTAATTGTTAACTTTTAGCATATTACATTGCATTTCATAATTCTCAACACAATAAAGCAATCTGTTAAGATGAGAAATAATATTTTAGTTAGCAGAAGATAAGATGTGCATAATAGTTTAAAAACATGGTTAGTTAGTTCAAAATAAGATTTGAGTAATGCCTGCGTGAATCATTAATTGATCGCTCAATAACATTTAGTAAATCAAATTTGATTACAATGAAAAAAACATCAAAGAGAAATAGCAAATAGCAAGCATTCTCAGTTTCAAATTTTGTATGCTCGGTAACTTTTTCACATGAACAAAGTTCAGTTTTCAGAATTAAATCAGAGGCCGTTTTTCTAAATCCCACATTAATTGCTTTACATTCCACATTTACAAGAGGAAAATTTGTAAACAACTATGACAAGGAGGAAGAGGAAGAGGAAGAGGAAGAGGAAAATGAAACTTACAAATGTTAAATTATTTGTAAACTTACAAGGAGGAAAAGGAAATGAGAGTCAAGTTAGTTTTCAAAACATTTGTAAAATATGGTGCTTTGTTTAAAAGTTAAAGTTTGATTTACTTTTCGAAGCATTTGTAAAATAATTTAGCACAATAATAAGAATCATGGGAATGGATTTCAAGTTTTGATGCTCATATATTTCATTGTATGATAAACAACTATGACAATATGGTGCATTATTGAGAACACTGATTCTATGATGGAGAGGACTGATTCTATGATTAGGACTATCACTAGCTCTAACTGGCATGAGTTCGACCTATTCAACTTGATAAAAGTATCATTCAATCAGTACACATGATTAGATTGGAAAAAGTTTGGGTTCAATATGAAACTCGATTTAAACATGAGTAGACCCTGGGTGTCATTTGGCTCGATCCAGTTAGAATCTGATCCATTAAAGGTTACATAAAAAGTGTATGTTTTGTATGTAATAATGCCTATATTCTGTTTAATAGTGAGTTTGAGCCAATTGTGAAATAGGCCTGAAATGGGCCAATTCAAACATGCTAATAGCATTATCCATGCCGTCACAACTGTCAACACATTACTGTGCACCTACTTTCCTCATTCTTTTATGTGCTGCATAATGCTAAAAGTAATTATCTCTATCTAACATTTTGTATTTGTTTAAACTGTCACAACTAACTCACCAGAGCTACAAATTGGACTAAGTTTAGCACAACAGTACTACAAGTTATTGACAGCGGCCATCTACAACAACAAAAATCACTAATGGCTCCTTGTCACGGAGTGAGGCTGGTGGTGGTGGCAGCCCATATTCAGAAACATAAACATTGGTATTCATCTTATTGCATTATGCAAAAAAGTACTTATTTTTATGTTTCCACTTTTCTACCATTTTTAAAAAATCATCTCCTACAGGTTATTCACCATAGTAGCTACCTTACTCTTGGTTTAGCAACATTAGGAACTCCTGATGAAGATATTTTTGATGATATAAAAAACGTCGTGTAAAAGCTTAATAAATTAAAAGCTATAATCTATTTCTAGAATTAGAAGCACGTTATGGATAAATATATGCATTGGCATTGGCTTACACTAAAACTACAAACAAGAAGACCATTTCACACCTGCTACATTTTGATGCATCAGAATTAAGCAACAATCTTAGGCAAACAGTAGTTTTAGCAAGTAGTTAGTTTCTCTTACGTTCAAGCTTGGCGCTTGCTTATTGTTTATCTTCTGGATTATAAGAATATGACACCAAACCTTTACTTCTCCAAACAAGTTTTCATATTTTGTATTTGCTCTTAACTCTTCTAACCTTCTACAAGAATCAATGAAAATGCACAGATTCAATAATTCATCTAATTGAGTTGCTAATTCTGGTTAAGCATAAATTCACCGGCAAAAACTATTCTGCAAAAACTTGAGATGTATCCCCAAAATCTAAATTATAGAACTGAAATTTCAGAATAAAATGCAAGAATCAGACATGATGTCTGCTATAGGAAGCAGATTTTACACACCCTTGGAAGCTTTTGCCATTGCATCATCAACATCTATCTCGTCACTATCACTATCTGCAACAGCAGACTGAGTCTTGGAATTTTCCAGAACCTTGCAGTAAATCATCCAGATTCCACAGCTACAAGGGCTCAGACATGGAAACAGAGATGGCATGTCAGAACTTATTTTTGTTCCAAAATTCAAAGAAAGTTTACTACATAGTTTGCCAAGTACATAAAGTAAAAAGAATCAATCCACACGAGAGAGAGAGAGAGAGAGAGAGAGAGAAAATGCAAGCACCTTTAATATCTGATCATGTGATATACTACCAAGAAACTTTCTATCATAAGAAAAAGCTGCCCCCAAAAAAAAAAAAAAGGTTCGACAATCAATACATATAGGGCTGATGATTTAGCTTCAAGCAAAATATACAATGCAATTATGCAGAAAAGGCAATATACAAGAGCAAAAGAACTTTTACACAGAACAGCTGCTCAATAAGAGACGTAATTCTCTATCAGCTTGCATGACTGTATATGTGAGCAATTCAATCAGTTCTGCAGAATTCCAATAATAATTCAAGGAAAAGGAAATCACTATAGTTATACCAAGACGCTCAATAGGATATTCTGAATGCTCTGCAATTGGCTGAATTATTTTGTTTGGCAATATTCCAACCATGCTGAACACACATAAAAGAATTTTATTCAATAAATGATAGATTTGACAAGCAGTATAGAATTATCAGAACACTACAAAAGTATAATCTCACCTGATAAGTCTATTCTCGGATCCAGTTATTACCCTATCTTCATCAAGCTTTGAGACATAATAATTGGATGGGAAAGAAGAAATCTTGTAAGCTTCAAGCAGGATAATCAACAGCTAAGTTCTGCTAAAAGTGAACACTTAAAACACATAGGCACGCACCTTTAACAGGGCATCAACAGAATTTGGAAACAGATCAACAAAGCGGTCACTAGGAATGTTAGAATCACGGAACAATTAGCATTATACACTCCAGCATTTATAACTATTAAAGGGAAAGAGAGAAATGAAGATTTTAGTTATATGTGTTAGTTTTGGACAAAATCAAGTATGCTGGCCTGTCCAACATAAGAATTATTAAACATGTAATACCTGCAATGCTTGAAGAAACCCCAAGAATAAACCTGAGATGTTACCACAATTACCAGAATTTTACATCTCAAGTTCTATAATTGCTATTTGTCTAAAGCTATCTTTTATTCCTGTTTGATTATGATGATTGGCAATTAGGTTTCTCCTAATCAAAAGTTGATTTTTTTTGTTTTAGCCATTGTGACGGGTTCCCCAGATTGTTCTATTCTTGCAACAGAAGTTGAAACTGGATCAGCAATTGCTCGTCTAGAGAATTCTCATGGGTAGGTATTATAGCCGACCATTTTTTGTAAGATTAAAGCTAAGTTCACCTTCTGTTTGGTATGGATATGGTAAGAGGGCGTTGCTGCTAGCATGGGGCCGGTGAATTGAGTTGGAAAAAATTATTCTGGTTAAGCATGAGGATGTTATGAACAAGATGCATAAATTGCTTTGAAAGACAAAACATAACAAAGTAACTGCAGTTGTTGGTCTTACTATTTTTAGCCAATCTTGATACTGAAATCTGCTCATATACTTCCTTAGCTTATGCTCTAACACTTCAGCTATCATGAGAAACAAAAAGACAAAGCAAAGTTAGCATCTCCAACTAGAAGAATGTATTCCATCATTTTTTTATCTACTTCTGTAATCAAGATTGAAAAACCCACCATTTTCATTTGACATTCACTCACAATAGATCCATCATACGTTAAAAGCTTTTCAATTATTACAGGCATTACTCACAGATTATTATGTGATTGGCGACACATCCACCGTAGTGCCTAATTTTTATTTTAAACGTTTCTATCATGACACAAATGTTATAAAGCTCACCATTATTTTGCAAGTAATGTATCTTTCCCGTAATTAAATATTACCTTTGATCTTCAACTCCACTCACCCCAAAAAAAAAAACCTATTATCTTTGGTTCAAGCTTCCCAATTGAAAGTTGTAATCCACTGTTGTGAATTATTACTCCATGTTGTCTGTGAATGGTGTACTATAGTCCTTTTACTTCATCAAAAAAAATAAAAAAAAAATAATCCATCCATAATTGGCAGCTGTTGTTTTTTTTTCTATTTCCAATCAGATTTCAATTTTCCCTATTTTCAAACCAAATCAAATAAGAACAAAATCCCTTCGTGATTTCTGAGTCACTATCAACTTTATATCTCATTAATCTGTTATTATCAATTTCTACCTACAACCAGACCATGGTTGTACAGCTTTTGACCTGGTTTTCATCAACCCGACCGGACTCATCAAATGGAGGGAGGAGAAATCGACCAAGAAATGAAAGAGATGAATTTCTCACCCCTCCGCTACCCGCCACACAAAAACCCCAGAATTTGAACAGAAAAAATTAATGAAATTAAATCAGAGAGAAAATATCACCACTGCCAAGATGCAATAAGCTGAGACGACGACAAGAATTCTGCAAACATGAAGCGAAGGGTACAGCGCAGCGAGAAAAAGACCCTGCAGCAGCCGCAGACCTAAATCAGGACAACGAAGGTCTAATCGACCATGGCATGAATAATATCCTCACCATTGTCACTCTATTTCTCTCTTCCCCACTCACTCTCTCGTACATATGACCGAATTTCTACAGAATTTAATTTGTACAAAAAAAAGAAAGATAAAAAACAAATGGATATATGCAGAGTAAAGAAGCTCTTAACTCTGAAGTGAAGCGTAGTGAAACCAAGGAATTAGATGCCCAAATTATTTGCGCACTGAGCACCCAGGACCCACGACCCAGGACCCAAAACCCAAGACAGAAAAGCCTATGTTCAATTTCTCATCCACAATTATTGTACCGTACTCATTCTGCTTATACATTGTGTATTAAATATCTTCGGTTCCTTTTCTCTTCCAACTTTCTCCCTTCACTCATTCCTGCATAATTGCTTGTGACTATTTCAACTCCATACCTTCTGAATTTACAATCTACTTTTTCACCGAACCATGAACAAAGTGTCCACTTTCAGTCTGCTACTATTAAAACAAAAGAAATAAAAGCATAACTAATTACAACTCAGTGTTTAAAAATTACATCTTCACAATAGTTCCTAACGCTAATATCATTTTATATACTTGCTAAACCTTTCTGCTCCTATTTGTCTTGTATCAGTAATATTCAAAGCTTCAAAAGCTTCAAAACTCTTATGCACTGCTTACTTCAAAAAATTGACTGCAACAAACATTTTACAAGATATCCACCACTCTGAAAGACCACAGTACATAATCATACTGATCTATTATAGTAGACTGTACTAGCCTCACATGTAATGCTTCTGTATATTTCAACTCCAACTTTTGAACTAAAAGACATACAAAAAAATGACAAACCAATACCATGCACGCGTGAATCACGTCTAATCAATTTTCACAGCAAACTAATTTCAAACAAAGCTCTTGCACATACAAATTTCGATCTATAAATACAAACATAACATTATTCCTGTCGCGCCCCATTTTTCGCGATAGAAAAATAAAAGGTGTTTATAAAAAGATGTGATTTATTAATAATAAATGAAAAAGGACCTAGAATGAGACTTAAAAAGAATGCGACAATTCGGGTCCAAAATTTAATCTAAAAGGGTTTTCAAGAAAAGATAGGAGTCGCCACTTGGTATGGAGTTTTGGTGTTCCAAGTCACCCAAAAAATAGAGTAAAATAAAATAAAACCCTTTTTGACAACTCCAGGTATTTGAAAACAAGAGAAAATGGATTCGGGAGTCACGGTTGAAGAAGGGGAAGGCAAATGTTCGATTAACTCAAACCTCAGGCACTCTTTCAACTTAGTCTAAGCTAGTTGCAAGGTTAAGTCAAAATTTTCCTAATATAACCCTTAATTTATCACATTTGGATGTTTTCTACATGGATGCAAATCTAAATTTATAAAATATCGAAAGAGTCAAAATATCCATTCAAGGGTTTAATCGAACCAATCGCATTAATTTACGAAGGCCAAAATGATTCCTTGAAAGTGTCACGAGTATGCGAATGATGAAATTAAAATAAAGAAAAGAAATTAAATTATATACATATATATAAGTGATAAAAAAAAAGGGAATGCAACATAAAGGGTACGGGAGGCAAAAACTCATGACATAATTTTCTTATGCATGGATTAATAGGATATTTAAACTAAAAAGTTATAATCACCCATTTTCCATGTTTGAAAAATAATTATCCTAACATGAACAAGCAAATGAACTAGTTTAAATGAGATGCAATTCTAAATAACATGATTAGCACTTATAGCGGGTAGGGGATAATATAATAGGGAATATCATACAAATGAAAAAAGATCCTAAAAGTGAAAATATGCATGAGAATGTAGTGAATATCACACAAAAATGAATCTAGCGCAAGTCGGCCTAAAGGGTCTAGTATTGGACTAACCCATTTCTAAAAATCCTTATTAGCGTTGGACTAGCAAGTAAGCAGAGGGAAAAGCCACAACTAGCGTTGGACTAGTGTGGTGACGTCATGCATTAACAATTCATAGTGAAACAAATAAAACTTAAATTAAAACAAATAAACGCATAAGAGCACGTAGCACATAACACGTAAACATAATATCTAGATGCCAAAATCCTAAGAAAAGCAGATAAAACACATAACACATAAGCCACATAAACACGCAACCTATCTATTACATCGGGGAATCTAACTACAATCTAAAAATGGGAAAGATATGATAAGATAAAATTAGTGATCCTATCTATTACATTTTTGAAGTATTTAAATGCCTCTCGGATAATTATAAAAATTAACTAAACAAATATAATATAAGAAAATTTAAATGAACATTTAAACCTAATAAATAAAGCATATAAAAATATATAAACACATAGGAACACATAGGAGCACATAAGAGCACGTAATTGACATTGAAATAATAAAAATAGGAGTACCTCCCGTTTGAAGTGGTAACTAAATGGAATCAAATTGTCCTATTTATACTCACAATGAACAAAAAGAATCATGGCACCAATTTAATTGAAAAAAAAATAAAAAAATAGTAAAAGTACTAAATTCACACTAATATGTCAAACGTAAAGAAATTTAAGAAAATCTAAAAATTACAAGTTAAATATACTCAGAAGTAACATAATTAGCTATTAAAGAAAAAAAAATAATCATAATAAAAGAGAGTCAAAATTCATTAGGGACTGAATTGCAAAATTTAAAAACTTTTGGGGATAGAAATATAATTTTCCAAAGTTTAGGGGGCCAAAATTAGATAAAATATAAAGTTTAGGGACCAAAGTGCAATTAACTTAAGAACCTACATGAAAGAAATTTAAAATGTTCTGAGCCATAGTGAAAATACTTGAAAGTACTGGGACTGGTATGAAAAAATGTTTTCTTATTCCTTGACAAATCAGGTCTCTGGGCCATTCTCTATTTTTTCGGGCCAAAGGCCATCTGGCCCAAACGAAAGTTCAAGCCAAAATACACAGGCCAGCCCGTCATTTTATCACTCAAGCCCAACAAAAACCCAAAAGAAATAAAACAAAACCCAACTAAAAAGAACCACAAGCCCACCCAAAAATAAAACAGCAGCCCAAACCATTTTTTTCTTTTCCTTCCTTCTTTTCTTTCTTTTCTTTTCTTTCTTCTTCCTCACCGTTTCTTTATCTCCTTCTTCAGCCAAAACTTTAGCTGGTGGCCATGGCGGCCGCCGGCGACCTCTCAAGTCACCAAAATTTCTCAAAATGCATCTCCCCACTCCATTTTTCGCGTAGATTCCCTTTCCGGAGTTAGTTTTTACAAAAAATGACCCAAAAGTGGCCAAAATGAGAAGAAATCAGTCCAGTTTTGATTTTTTCAAAACACCATATCCTTCACCAAAAATCATAAAAATTATACTATAACACTCCTTGCAACCTCTACAATACAACTACGATTTTAATTCGACAAGAAGGCAACATAAAAAGGGCTAAAATAAAGCAAAACAGCCCCCTAAAATTTTTTTTTTCATTTTTTGGCATTTTTTCAAACAGTTAACATGCATATACAAAAATCATTATTCTTTTCCTAATTTTGTTCATGACCCATCCCAAAATTCAGCAACTCAACAGCCAAGGAAACCAGCAAAAGCAAAAGAAAATTAAACAATGAAGCATGGACTTACTGTGCTAAACAAAACTTAAATTACCTCAATGTAGGTGTGTGTGAGATTGAGAGGGGAAAGGGAAAGGAGAACCGAGAGACTGAGAGGGATTTTTCTTCTTCTTCTTGTGTGTTTTCTGTTTCTTTCCTCTGCCCAGGTTCGAGAGAGGGAAAGAGCGAGCCGTCTGCAAAGTGAGGGAGTGTTTTCTTCTTTTTTTTTTTTGTGAGGGAGAGAGCCGAGAGATGTGTTTTGGGGAGAGAGAAAGGCAGTCTTTTTCTTCTTCTTGTTCTGTGACCTTTTTTCCGTCCTCTGTCTGTGAGAGCCGAGAGAGAAGATTGAGGAAGTAAAGGTGGGGAGTTTGTGTGTTGGATCTTCCAAAATGATTTTTTCTCCACCTAATGAAAAGAAAGGTGCATGGGATAAAATGATGATTTCTTCCAAATAAAAAAAAGAAAGATGCATGGAGTTTTTGAGTGCAAAAATGGATCAATAGTGCATTTGGTGAAAGAGCAATAATTATGAGAAGATTTTTGATTTCTTGATTTTTTTTTTTTTGTGTTTGTTTTTTTTTTTGGTCCTAAAATAAACCTGCAAAAAAAATGAGAAAAATACACATTAAAATGTAAGAAAATAAATAACTCATTAAATAGAAAAAACTCACTAAAATATTAAAGATTGACAAAAATTTGGTGTCTACAGCTTGCCCCTCTTTGTCTAGAGTTTCAAAGAAACTCAAGACAAAGACGTAGACACCAAATTGCTTACCTGTCTCTTGTAGTTGCACCTGAACTAAAATAAACAAGCCAACACTTGGCTGAAATTATTGGATAAAATGATGCAATAACATTGCAGAAAATGTGACCGAACTCATGTAGAGTTGCCTACGTATCCCACCATAGGAATCAGGTCAAACGTAGTTTGAATGCAAGTGAACCACAATGAAACAAGTGCATTGACCAACTGTGAAATTTGCAAAGTCGAAAAAGTTTGAGCTCTTAGAACTTCTAAACATGAAACACAAAATGAATGAGAAAGCACAATTATTAATCAAAACAGTCAAGAAAAGTAACTTGTCATAACTAGAAAAAGATGCGCGGAGGGACGCGGTTATGCTTCAAGAAGGGGGATAGAAGAGTGCGCGGCGGGCGCTGAGACTCACCAACAAAAATTAAATTTGTCAAGAAGAGGAGGTAGAAGGGTGCGCGGTGGACGCTGAGACTCACCAACAGAAAATTAAATTTGTCTTTTAGAAAAAAAAATGCGCTGAGGGACGCAATTACGCTCCAACAGGAAATTAAATTGTCAAGAAGGGGAGATAGAAGGGTGCGCGGTGGGCGCTGAGACTCACCAACAGGAATTTAAATTGTCAAGAAGGGGAGGTAGAAGTGTGCGCGGTGGACGCTGAGACTCACCAACAGGAATTTAAATTTGTCAAGAAGGGGGACAGAAGGGTGCACGGTGGACGCTGAGACTCACCAACAGGAAATTAAATTGATGCGCGGAGGGACGCGATTACGCTCCAACAGAAAATTAAATTTGTCAAGAATGGAAGGTAGAAGGGTGCGCGGTGGACGCTGAGACTCACCAACGGAAATTTAAATTGATGCGCGGAGGGACGCGATTACGCTCCAACAGGAAATTAAATATGATGATGATTTTTTTTTCTTTTTTAAATGACAGATGGGTGGGATAGACTCTAGCCCAATTAAATATTGAAAGAAATGAAAACGCAAGTCGAATACTATCAAACTGACAGATTAAAATGCATGTTGTTCAAGTTGTAATAAATCAAGACAAACTTACTTAGCGGACTTACAACTTTCTTGATTGATTTTTTTTTCGAACTTTAAAAGAAAGGGAATTATGATTTTTCTTTCTTTCTTCGAAAAAGTACAGCAAAACATGGAGCTCAATCCTTCTACCATTTGCCCCAGCGTCAATCATGCTCAACTAAGCCAGTATTGTGTCACATAATCTTTCCTGTAAAAAGGAAAAAAAAGAAAAAGAAGCAACTATGATGAAAAGACTGCCACCACCACGTGATCCCTTTGCCTTGAGAACCATGTAAACATGAGTTTCAATATCGACCAATCGCTCCCTTAGGTTCAGCCGACAACCCTTCAGAAGCTTTGCAACTGTCAAATGTCAATTGTTCGCACTTTAGTATCATAGGACCTTAAATTTCATGACTCTTTAGAGATAAATTATAGGGGATTGTCTTTTGAATGAGACCCAAAAAAATGAAAAATATAAACAATTAAAAAAGTAGTATTCATCATGCAATAATACTAATATGAAATAAACAATGATACACAATAAATAAATGAAATAGCAAATAGAATAGTAAAACAAAATTGTTGAATTTTTGAATATAGGCCCAAGGATCCAAATTTGGATTCGTATTTAGAGGATGGCCTTTGATGAGGAAAAATGCTCCATCTGACCCTTTCGTAGTCATCCATTTTGGAATTTATTGTCGGCAAAAGAACAACAGTATGAAAGAGACCCAAATCAACATAGTCACCAGTTTTCAGACCTCAACATCTTCTTCTCTGTTACTGATTCTCTTGTACTCCAAAACCCTACCTCAGCGCCCTTTCGGGTTTTCACTAAGGTTACCCCCACCCTTTTAATTTTTTTTTCTTTTTTTTTTGTTTTTGTTGTTGTTTTTTTTGTTTTTGTTGTTTTTTTTTCTCTTTTTTTTTACTCTTTTTTTTTTACTCTTTTTTTTTTAAGGTGTCCTTTCAGGTTTTCACCTAAAGACATAGACAAGACAATTTTAACCCCAACCGTATCATTGCAATCATACTCTGATAATGAGTAGCATCAGTGAGATAATCTTTTCTGACATGTTTCAGAAAAGTTTGTATTTACATCATTTGCTAGTTGATTAAGAAAAAATTTTCAAAAATACTGCAAAAGATGAAATTTGGCAAAGGAAAGGTTAAGGCTTGAAAGGCTTGACAGCGGATCATATGATGAGTTTGCAATCATTTGAAATAGCATTCTTTCAAAACTTACCCCAATCTAGGATGAGAAAGAGATAAAATTTGCCCCAGTTTAATTCTGACAGAATCTCTATTTTCTTCTTTTTTTCACTTTTTTCTTTTTTTTCTTTTCTTTTTCTGTTTTTTTTTTTTAGAAACAAATTGCCCCAGTATGGGGTTAGTGATCTTAAGGGACAGCCAAGCGAAAAGGAAAATGGTTATGAAAAGTCAAAAGGAAAGAAGAAAATTTAGGGATAGAATATCGAAATGGAAAAATGAGGGAAGTATGCCTGAAATCCGTCTCTTGCAGTATTTTAAAATTTTTTTTTATAATCAAATAAAAAACTTTTTGCACATGTCTGCATTGATTGGTTGGGGAAAAACTTGACCGTCCATTTCCATAAGAATAAACGCTCCTCCGGATAGCACTTTCTTAACAATGAATGGTCCTTGCCAATTGGGAGCAAACTTCCCTTAAGCCTCATCTTGCATTGGAAGAATCCGTTTCAAAACCTTATCTCCAACGTCAAACAAACGGGGCTTGACTTTTTTGTTGTAAGCCCGAGCCATTCGTTGCTGATAACATTGTCCATGGCAGACAGCATTCAACCTCTTTTCATCAATGAAAGACAATTACTCCTGACGTTCTCGGACCCATTCAGTTTCTTCTATCTGAGCCTCCATTAGAATGCGTAAGGAAGGAATTTCAACTTCTGCAGGCAGTACTGCTTCCATTCCATACATAAGAGAGTAAGGAGTTGCCCCTGTAGAAGTTCTGATTGTAGTTCTGTACGCCATCAGTGCATAAGGCAGTTTCTCATGCCAATCCCGGTGTGCTTCAGTCATCTTACGAATAATCTTTTTCAAATTCTTATTTGCGGCTTCGATGGCTCCATTCATCTTAGGCCTGTAAATGGCAGAATTTCGATGTCTGATTTTGAACTATTCACATAATCCATCCACCATATCATTGTTGAGGTTTTTGGCATTATCGGTGATCAACGTCTCTGGTACCCCAAAACGACAGATGATATTATTTCTCAAGAAATCCGACACCACTTTCTTAGTCACATGCTTATAGGACGCAGTCTCAACCCATTTGGTGAAATATTCAATCGCCACTAAAATGAATCGATGCCCATTTGAAGCAGGAGGATCAATAGTTCCGATCACATCCATTCCCCAAATCGAACATGGCTATGGAGCAGTTGTACTATGTAATTCTGTAGGAGGAGCACGTATAACATCACCATGCATTTGACACTTAACACATTTTCTAACAAAATCTACACAGTCATGCTCCATGGTAAGCTAAAAATATCCTGTTCTCATGATCTTCTTAGTCAGTAGATGCCCATTCATGTGTGGTCCGCAAACCCCACTATGCACTTCTTTCATCATATAATCGGCTTCCTCTTCATTGATGCATCTCAGAAGGCCCAAATCAGATGTTTTCTTGTATAGCACTTCTCCATTCAAGAAAAATCTTGCTGACATCCTGCGTAAGAAACTTTTTGCAACAGAATCAGCGTCAGGAGGGCAGGATCCCGTTTTCATGAATTCCTTAATATCATTGTACCAGGAGCGACCATCAATGACCCTTTCCATAACCAGACAGTGCGCTGGCCTATTCTGAAGTTGGATCTGTATAGGTTCAATCACCAGCTCATCTGGATGTTGGATCATCGAAGACAAAGTAGCTAAAGCATCAGCAAAGGCATTACGAGTGCGGGGAATATGTCTGAGTTCCAAATTCCTGAATTTACTAGCCAAACTAAGCAAGTTACAATGATATAACATAATTTTTTATCCCGAGTTACCCACTGTTTAAGCGTCTGGTGCACAAGTAAATCGGAATCACTAAATGCTATCAGGTCTTTGATATCCATGTCCAATGCCATTTTCAATCCAAAAATGCAAGCTTCATACTCGGCCATGTTGTTGGTACAAGGAAACCGTAATTTGGCCGTAGCGGGATAGTGCTTCCCTTCAGGCGACACTAAAACTGCTCCAATTCCGGCTCCGAAAGAATTTGACGCACCGTCGAAAAATAACCTCCATCCAGGATACTGCTCACTCATGTCCTCAACTGCTCCAATGAACAGAATTTCTTCATCAGGAAAGTAGGTATGCAATGGCTGGTAATCATCATCTCTTGGATTTTCTACCAAATGATCTGCTATAGCTTGACCCTTGACTGCCTTTTGTGTTGTGAAGACAATATCGAACTCGGAAAGGATCATTTGCCACTTAGCCATGCGTTCCGTGGGCATCGACTTTTCCAATAGGTATTTTAGAGGATCAGAACGGGAAATCAAGTAAGTGGTATAACCGAGCAAATAATGTCTCAACTTCTGAGCTGCCCATGCTAAAGCACAACAACTTCTCTCAAGGAAAGAATAGTTGGCTTCATATGCCGTAAATTTCTTGCTCAGATAGTAGATGGCTTGCTCCTTTCTCCCAGACTCATCATGCTATCCCAGAACGCATCTGACAGCCTCATCAAGAACAGACAAATACATAATCAGAGGTCTTCCTGGCTGAGGTGGCACTAAGATCGAAGGATTTAACAAATAATTCTTGATCTTATCAAAAGCCTGCTGACAATCTTCATTCCAATCCATTGGCGCATTCTTTTTCAACAGTTTGAACAAAGGCTCACAGGTAGAGGTTAACTGTGCAATGAATCGGCCAATGAAATTGATTTTTCCAAGAAAACTCTTCACATCTTTTTGACTTTTTGGAATGGGCATATCTCGAATTGCTTTTATTTTTACAGGATCTATCTCTATACCGTTTTTGCTGATAATAAAACCCATTAACTTACCAGTCGGAGCACCAAAAGCACATTTCGCAGGGTTCAACTTCAAATTATACTTCCTCAATCTTTCAAATAGCTTCTTTAAATCAACCAAATGGTTCTCGACCTTCTTGGATTTAATTATGGTATCATCCACATAGACCTCCATCTCTTTGTGAATCATGTCATGGAACAGAGTAGTCATTGTCCTCTGATAAGTGGCTCCAGTATTCTTCAACCCGAAAGGCATCACTCTATAACAAAAGGTTCCCCATGGGGTGATAAAAGACGTTTTCTCTTTGTCTTCTTCGGCCATTAAGATTTGATGATACCCAGCAAAACAATCACCAAAAGATTCAATTTCGTGTCCAGCAGTATTGTCCAAAAGAATATGAATGTTTGGCAAAGAAAAATCGTCTTTCGGACTGGCCTTATTCAGATCTCTGTAATCAACACATACTCACACCTCCCCAGATTTCTTAAGCACTGGCACAAGATTCGATAGCCAGATGGGGTAATGAGACACCATGATTATCTTAGCATTGAGCTGTTTCACAATTTGTTCCTTTATTTTGAGACTCATTTCTGGTTTGAATTTACGTGGCTTCTGCTTTACAGGTAAAAAATTTTGGATCAGTTGGCAACCTATGAACCACTATGTCTGTAGAGATCCCTGGCATATCATTGTATGACCATGCAAACACATCTTGAAAAAGTATTAAGAATTCAATCATTTCCTCCTTCTGTCTCTTATTCAAATGAATGCTGACTTTAACTTCTTTAACCTCCGTTTTAGTGCCAATATTGATGATTTCTGTTTCTTCTAAGTTGGATTTGGGTTTCTCTTCATACTGTTTTAAATCCCTTGAAATAAACTCAAATTCTTCGTCAGTATCGCTTCGCTTTGAATTTCAGATTGCATAATTTCAAGTTCATGAGAGATATCGAGATTGCAGCCATCGAATTTCAAAATGGTGACATCCAAAGGGTCAAAGGATTTTATTTGTGGCCATCTGAAAATAGAATAGAGCATAAGTAATAAATAAATAGCAAATACTGGAGAAGTCTTTCATTTCATTAGATTCAAAATGCATCGAGACTTCACAAAAAGATAAATATACAGATATGATTGCTATTTAAAGACATATTTAACCCAAACCTTTATTTTCGTTTCAGCAATTTTCTTGAACAAAGCAAGTTATATTAATTGAAACAAGAATAAAGGTTTAAAAGATGAAAGCAATTTTTTTTAACAAAAGATCCAGACTACTGTCCTATCTAGATATGATCTAGACAAAAGACAATCCCCTTAAATTTACCGAAATTCCCTTCGAGAGGGAAGGTAATCAGCAGTCCAATTCTGAATAGCTTCTTCGGTAATTGGCAAAAATTCTGCATTCTCTGATGGCCCCTCCTCACAAGTAGCCCCGACAAATAGCTGAGACAAGTCCACTTCAATCTCCTCCACAGGATTCTTCGTTTCTGCATAATCACCTCTGATGGACGAGGAAAAGTGTTATATAGCGGAGGGATATTTAAGGCAGTTTGCTTGCCCTTCTTTTCAGCTTGCTTTCGAGCTTGCATTTCCTTTCTATCCTTAGCAGTTGGATGAAATCCCAGTCCAAATGTATCCTTTTGCGTTGGGATCTCTATCGGCTCCAAAATTCCTTGCAATTCTCGCCCAAAACCTCTTCCTATTTCATAGCCGCCTCGGATCATCTCCCTAGCCATCATTATACTGGCCTCTAGCAAATCTGATTGAGTTGGTGACTTATCCTTGGACGCCCATCCCACAAAGACGATGTCAGCAACGTGATGAGATTGGAGTCCTTTGTCTGTTTTCACCATTGAATTTTGCATCAACGATCATGGTACAGTCATCGTCAGCAAACACAGTAATGAGTTGATCATTTGCAATAAACCTCAACATTTGATGCAGAGAAGATGGCACTGAATTGGAAGCATGTATCCAAGGTCTTCCAAGTAAAATATTGTAAACGCTGGAGAAGTCCATGACTTGGCAAGTAACTTGGAATTGAGCAGGACCTATCTCCAATACCAGATCTGCTTCACCCATAGATTCTCTCCTTGAACCATCAAATCCTCGAACCACAGTTGCAGATGGACGGAGTTTAATATCAAGAAATCCAAGCTTGGTGAGAGTGTTCCATGGACAGATATTCAACGCTGACCCATTATCCACTAAAACCCTCGGCAACAGCTTTCCATTGCAAGGGACTGATATATACAAAGCTCTGTTATGCCCGATCCCTTCTGTAGTCAGATCATCATCGGAGAAGGCAATATGATTAGCAGGAAGTACATTCCCCACAATGTTAGAAAATTTATCCACTGGAATATCTTTAGAGATTTGGGGTTCGTTCAGAATTTTGAGCAATGCTTCTCTGTGCAGCTCGGAAGTCAAGAGAAGATTCAGAAAAGAAATCTGAGCAGGCATCCTATCCAACTGCTCCACTATTTTGTATTCACTTCTCTTCAGCATCTTCAGAAAATCTACAGCTTCATTTTCAGACACACGAGGCTTGGGTGTCGGAGATTTAACCTTGGCCCTGAATTGAACATCAATATCGAAGTTTCCCACAATTTTTTCAGACCTAGTAATAGTAGATATATCTTCCTTCAAGCAATCTTTACCCCCAATTAACAGACTGGGCTCCTCGTAGTTCCATGGTACATTTTGCAAGTCATTGATAGGCATTTGCTCTGGAAATTCGAGATTGGCAGGCTCTGATATATCTCATTCAAAAGATGGAAGATCCAAAATAAAAGGAACTTCAGAATTGTCAACCTCGGAAGGTCCTCCTTCTACTATAAACGGCTCCTCTTTCTCAAACACAAAAGATTTTAACTTTTCCTCAGCATTATCCTTAGTTATGGACTCTTCAACAGACAGTAATTTCCTCATCTCCGCATGGTCAGTCTCCATCATGCCAAACACTTCAGTTTCATCTACAATGTACTGACTGGGGTCGACAAAATCTTCATCAGCGATGATAACCCCCACAGTGCTCCCATGCTCAGGTAGAGGATTCTTACTAACATTCGGTCCTTGCTCTCCCTTTCTTCTGAGAAGGATGTCTCCAGAATCAATCATGTCCTGAATCTTATGTTTTAAAGCCCAACAATTGCCAGTGGTATGACCTGGACTTCCAGAATGATAAGCACAGATTGCATGCGGATCATAACCGGTAGGAGGACCTCTGGGATAGATTTTGGGAGGAACAGTGCCAATTTTTTCAGCTGCTTTTAATTGCTCATACAACTAATCAATAGGTCGGCCCAAGTTGGTGAAGGTTCGAAATTGCTTCTGAGTTTGAATTCCACTGGTTTGCAAAGGATTTTGAGAAGGGTTATTGTTTTGCAGGGTTGGTCTGGAATGGTAAATAGGACGAGAGTGATTTTGAAAGACAGGTTGTGGAGTTGGAGGTAAGGGCGAGGTATTCAAATGATTTGGTCGGGAATGATGGAATTGGGTAGTAGTGTGGTAGACTGGTTGAGGATTGGTGTAATAGGGGTAAGGAAAAGAATAGGTGGGATGGTTTTTGGGTCTGAAAAACGGACCTTGATCCCATATAAAAGCAGTATCACCTTCTTTCTTCTTGAATGGGGGCTTTTTCCCATTGTTGTTTTGATTTTGTAGAGCATCCAATTGCAACTTTAATGCAGACACATTAACAATCTTCCCTGCTTTGACAAATTCATCATACTCCTACAATTTGTTAACGATAGCAGCAAATGAACTTCCCGTCATGCGGAAGGTCTCTTCAAAATAGGGTTGATCGTGAGCCTTGATGAAAGTGCGAACAATCTCCTCCTCAGTCATAGAGGCTCCACTTTGGCGGCTAACTTTCTCCACCGTTTTACGTAGGTCTTGTGATCTTCCGACGGCTTTCTTTTCGTATCCTCCAGTGTGGTTCGTGTTGGTGCCAACTCACAGTTAATTTCATACTGCTTCACAAAAGCAGTTGATAGATCCAACCAGGTTTTGACTTCTCCAGACTTCAAATTTGAATACCAATCTAGAGCATCTCCCTCCAAACTTTCCGGAAATAGACGCATAGGTAAATTCTCGTCATCCATAGGTTTACCTAACTTGTTGGCAAACATCTTGAGGTGCGTCTTAGGATTTCCAGTTCCATCATACTTGCTGAATTTAGAGGTTTTGAATCCCAACGGTAGCTGAATATTTGGGAAAAGACACAATTCATCGTAGTCCAAACCACCATGCCTGCTCAACCCTTGATTCTTTTTCATAAAGTCATCGAATCGATCCAACCTTCTTAACAGATCTTTATCAACGGGTGTAGGTTGTTCTTCCATCGCCACCTTCCTTTGAGATGTAGTATCTAGTACAAAAGGCTCCGTAAGGTGGTGGTGCGGTCCCTGAGGGTTGGGGGAAATGTTCAGATTGGTTTGTGGATGAGTTTGAGGGATTTGACTATTGGTTGGGTTCACCAATACATAATTCGGATGCATATAGGAAAGTCTGAATTTAATCGGGCAAAGGTACTTTCAAGAGGGTTAGCGAAAGGAGGAAGGAAAGTTGTTTGGGTATTGGATGTGTGGGGTGGTTGATGGTCTTGTGCAGGTGGGTGATTATCGATAGGTTCTTGGTCGTTGGGGACACCACCAGCACTGTTGCTTGCGACCAACTGATCAATTACACGCCTTTGTGCGGCCATTTCAACACTTAACTCATTGAACTTGCCAAGCACCTCACTTAATTGAGCTCCCAATGCTGTGAAGTCCGGCGATGTTACTATAGCAGATCTTTCCGAAGTTTCTGGTACTGAACTCATGTTTACAGATTGTCTCAAGGCTCTACTTCGGGACCTGGTGATGATGGGGTTTCTTCGGGTAGCTATTGTGAAAAATACCTGAGAGTGGAGAAAAAAACTAATTTAGGAGTGAATTTTCTGCCAAATTGCTGTAATTTATTCAAGAAAAAGAAAAGAGAAAGTAAAAAAAATGAGTTAGTAGATATTTAAATAATTCAGATGCATGTCCTATGGGGGAGCCCTTTTCTGCCAAGGGTAGGCCTAATATGATGCAACACCTTCGGGGTAAAATCCCAATTCCAAACCTGTAAATGAATTTAGAAATCAAAGTAGAAATTCTCATTAAACACTGACAGGTTTAATCATTTTTTACAGCTTCATTGATGGTTCGGTTGACCATTTTTACAAAATCCTCATGCCTTGCCAAACTAGTACGTTGAGACTCCTTAGATCTTCCTATACTAAGCTTTCGAATTCCTTCTTGGATTTTGTCAAATGCATCCAGCGCTCTTTCCAACTTTTCAGTTTTTCTTGTCTCCCACTTTAATTGTGCTTGGGCGTCTTCCAGGGCATGGTCGGCCACTATGAGTTGCAATTGATAATCCTCAAGCTCTTTCTTCAGCTTGTCTATCTGCTCTTCAAGGCTGACAGGAGCGGACTGTGACTTCTCTCGTGCTTGTTCGACTGTCAGTTTGATCCACTCATTATATTCTGAAATGACCTTAGGTTCCAATTTGTTGACTTGATCCAAGTGCAAGTTCTCTAAACTAAGAAGATTTCCCCAAGCTTCCAATACCATGCTCCGACTTTCAGCAACTGTGTTGAGTCTGATACTTTCAATCCCTTGCATTACCGGAATTCTTTCCGAATACCCAAATTGCCTCATGACTCGTTGCGGAACATACGCGACCAATCCATTGGTGCCTGCTAGGGGAATAAAACTATGTTGGGTAGTCGTAAAAACTGGATCCCTAACTTTTGTCCAATCTAAAACCCATTGTATTTTCTCAAGTGTCAAGCTATTGAACTTTTGAATAAATTGACTCGGAGAAGCAATCCGATAATACTTTTTGACCCTTTCTCGGTGTGATTCGATCCAATTCTCTGCGGGGAGACAAGATCCCAAAGGATTGAGCGTTCTCTTCGCTAGATGCTCCATTGCCCACATTTGGAGTATCAAATTTGAGCCAAAAAAGAAACCTCTCTTCTTTTGCCGTGAAGATGTCGGCAATGATTACAGGTACCAAAGTAGGGGTCATTCCATTAATTCCTGAAAATAGGCTCTGAACCATGTTGATAGTAAAAAATGTGATCTTTCCATGCTTTTGTGGGAACAACAACAGATTGATCAAACTAATCCAAACGCTTGCACTCGCTTCTCTAACCATTGCTCTTTACTTATAAAAAAATCGATTCGGTACTGTTCATAGAACCATCTTTCTCCAAATCGTTCATACAGAAACTCTAACGGGCACGATCTCGCATTCGAATGTTGGTTCATACTAGCTTGCCTTAATCCCAAAAACCTATAAAACTGTTCCCTTGTTCCATTAGTTGGATATATCATAGGATAACCTTTCCCAGGTATCTGCAATAATCCCTCTATTTCTTCTAAAGTTGGTGTTAGTTCACATTCACCGAATCGAAAAATAGAACCTTCTGGATCCCAATACCCCAGTAAAAATTGAATGATTGCAACATTTGGTGTTATGCTTAGAAGACTCGGTAAATGTCCCACATACTTGAACAGTCTCTTCACCTCATGTGTCATATTATTTTTCCAGTCTGTTAGTTCCCGAGGTATCTGGTTCAGCATTCTGCATGGAGCCATCTGAGGAGGAATTTCACTTTTAGTACCTTACCTCGGGATTTTACCCCTTAGGCAATACAAAATCGTAAACATGCAAGTCTCATTGGATTACATATCCGAGA